GAGGTCCAGTGTGTTAAAACGTTATTCATAAATACATATACATAAAAGATATTCAAACAATAATCTAATATACTCATCTCAAACGGTAGAGCTTGTATGTATGACATTCTATTTGAAAACAAGACATTCGACCAAGACATTCTATTTGAAAACAATTCCTAAATAGGCACAATAAACAGAAACCTGAGGTGTGTCCCCCAGCTTCCATTTCACATAATTCCTATCTTTGCCTCCAATTCTGAAAAGTAAAATACTTCTAAACCCCATGTGCTACAAGCTATGTTCCTTTGTGGTCCGAGGACTGTATCTGAAACAAACAAATCGTTAGCATACAAAAGAAAAAATAAATAGATCCAAAAGCTGGAGTACAAAGACACCCCCCTTCCCCTAACAAACACACCCACACCAAAAAAACAACAAACAACAACAACAAACACACACACACACACACACACACACACACACACACACACACACACACACACACACACACACACACACACACACACACACACACACACACTCACTCACTCACTCACTCACTCACTCACTCACTCACTCCAAACTGTTGGACATCATCCTATAGGGGCGGTGACGTAGCCTTGTGGTTAAAGCGTTCGAAGACCCGGGTTCGATTCCCCACGTGGGTACATTGTGTGAAGCCCATTTCTGGTGTCCCCAGCCGTGATATTGCTGGAATATTGCTTAAAAACGGCGTAAAACCACACTCACTCATTCTGTAACTGGTTTATAAATGGTGGAAAACAAAAGAAGATTTAAGTTGCAGTCTTGCCTCACAGCACACTTTTAAAAAGTCTTGATATTTTAACCGAGGATAATATGTTACTGTTCTATATTTAAACCGAGGATAATATTTTGGATAGATATATTTTATAGCAGAATACCTTTCCCCATGATTTCCGTTGGAGTGAAGAACAAACCAAAACAGATCACTAGTAACCGAATCTGAGGCCTAGTGGAAATCTACAAACTGGCAGTAGAACCATCCCTTTGATTTCGACAGATATTTGTGAAGTACAATTTGTTGTATAAACATATATTGTCAACTGTAGAGAAACCTTTCTGGAAAACTGCCTGACATTTACTGTTTCAACGCCTGTTATTTAGAACCTGCGTAAAAGCCTTACCTGCGTGATACCCCGATAGTTGTATACATCATGGACACTAACCTTCTCGTGGAGGGGATATATATTGTTTTGACCACTCACCCGTAAAGGCAGCATAACGGAAAATATTGTTAAAATGAGTAAGAAGATATGGAGTCAAAACATTGCTACGTATTTCAACATCTCTGATAATCGTTTTACCACTTTTTAAGGCGTCAACAGCATATACATCTCTTCAGCCGTTTTATCATGGTTCAGTGAATCATTGATATAATCATTACAACACACGTTACAGTTACCAACATCGGAAGCATGGTCAGCGATGGCATTCGGTCACAACATCAGAGACATCATCAAACACGGTTATACTGACTGACTGAGTTTGGTTTTACGCCGCTTTTAGCAATATTCCAGCAACATCACGGCGGGGGACACCAGAAATGGGCGTCACACATTTTACCCATGTGGGGATTCGAACCCAGTTCTTAGGCGTGACGAGCCAACGCTTTGACCACTAGGCTACCCTAGCGCCCTCAAACACGGTTATACAATAGACAATCCACTGTGAAACACATACAGATAGTACTGATACTGTAGGTGGTTACCATTGATCTTCAGTAACCCATGCTTGTTGTAAGAGGCGACTAACGGGATCGGGTGGTCAGGCTCGCTGACTGGATTGACACATGTAATTGTATCCCTATAGCGTAGATCGATACTCATACTGTTGATCACTGGATTGTCTGGTCCAGACTCGACTATTTACAGCCCGCCGCCATATAGCTGGTATATTGTTGTGTGCGGCGTAAAGCTTTACTCACTCACTATGACCAAAATGCTTGATCATTTCTGTTGTTACATTTATCCAGAATGTCAGCAATAGTTAAATTCATCCCGTTTTCGACTTCTCTAAATTTATTACTATTTTATGAGAATTCTTAAACGTTTCAATGTCGCCGGTAAGTCTGAAATTATCTTAATGTATATATTTTCTGCATTTCATATGTTCACATTTTGCATCAAACCATGGTGAGGACGTGCTGAATACACCAGTCAATGTCTCAGCTAATTTTGATGAGTTAATGTCTTATGAAAAGATAAGAAAAGATAAGATAAGATAAGATAATGCTTTATTATCCCGAAGGAAATTTGCTTTACACGGTAAACATTGACAACAAATACAATACAACAAAAGATACATTTACATAAGACCACAAAACACCCATACATATGTCCAATATTACTAAAACAGCTGGCAACAACGCCCAGTATATGAGGTAAAGATACATGATGAACATAAATAATATATTTAAGATTCAGAGCTATTTATACTGGCGACATTAAAATAGCTGAGGAGCATTCGCAGTAAAAGTATATTCCTATAACAGTTTGAAACAATTGATAAAGTATTATAAAATTATTAGCAAACATTAAAATAATTCATTTAAAACACTGATGTTTGCTGGGATGAAAGAATTCCGTCCCTTGTTTGTTCTGAATATCGGCGTGCGCAGTCGACGGTCAGAAGGAAGAAGTTGAAATTCGGGAAATAAGACATGGGTGCTGTCATTTAAAATTTTACGTGCTTTCTTTTCAATTTGCTGCTTGTAAATAGTGCCGATATCAGAAAGTTTACTTGCTGTGTTAACAATTTTGGAAATGTTTACATCGATTTTGAACAGACAGACCCCCATACCAGCAATGTACATTGCAAACTAAAATACTTTAAATAAAAGACTTGTAAAATAACGACAATATGGTTGTGTCAATCTTAAAATAACGAAGACGACGTAAATAGCCGCTTTAGCCCTTTGTTGTATATGTAATCAGTATTAATGTTCCAGGTGAGCTTAGAATCTATCACTGTGCCAAGATAGTATATTCCTCAACTCTATCTATGGTTTCGTTATAAATGACAATTGGCAACAACTCACTTTTACTTTTCCGAAAATCAATAACCATCTCTTTTGTTTTCTTAACAATTAATTTAAGGAAGTTGATTTTACACCAATCAAATTTTTTTGTGATTTCAGAGCGATAGCCATTCTCCGAGTGCCTTATAGATCCAGCGAGTGCGGCGTCATCTGCACACTTTACAGTTAAACATTGTGAAAACCTACTGATACAGTCATTTGTATATAGAATATATAGAACCGGGGAAAGAACACAACCTTGCCGGGCACCAGTGGATACGAATGTTGTTACTGATTGGGTGTTATTAATAGTTACAAACTGGGGTCTATTTAGAAGAAAAGATTCTATCCATTTTATAACACATGGGTTGACTGATATTACAGAGCTTTTGCATTACAATATGAGGCTGGATGGTATTGAAAGTTGAAGAAAAGTCAGCAAACAGAATTCGTACATAGGAATGGGAAAGTTCTAAATGTTTGTAAATATTGTATAATAAAGTGATGGTAGCGTCCTCGACACCTCGCCCAGGCAAACTGAAGACGGTCGAGAAGGTGTTCTGTTTCTTTCAGGAGCAAACGCTTTACAATTCTTTCCAAACACTTCATAGGTATAGGCGTCAAAACAATTGTACGGAAGTCATTATCAACGGTGGGCGTGGGGAATTTAGGTACTGGGATAATATTTGAAGTTTCCCAAATGCTTGTTCTACAAGGTTGATTTGAAGGACCCGATATAAGCATCAGCGTTCTCGGGGAGCCATTACAATCTCTGTATTACCTTCACACTGACTAACCGTTTCCGTCTCCGGGTAAACACATGTACATTTGGTGGAATAAACCTACTGTGTTTTGGAATGTGTGGATGGTCGCCTCACTGAAGATACCTCTCAATGTTAATTCGTAACCAAGCACACATTTGAAACAATCACAATCAAGTATCCTTCAATGACATGGTAGAATTCTCGGTTGACGTTTTTCCGGAATGGTTACACCGAACTTAACCGACAAGGATGTCACACGATATTTCATTAACACAAAGGGAGCAATCTCCAACGTTACTGCAATCTGAACGCAATCTGATGTTATAATGAACGCTAGTTTTTCGACATCGCATAATACTCTTAAGATTATAGACAACTACAGCTGATGTGGGACCAGGGGTATAGACGTCTACTGTAGCTGAGAGGGGACCAGGGGTATAGACTTCTACAGCTGATATGGGACCAGGGGTATAGACTACTACAGCTGATATGGGACCAGGGGTATAGACTACTACAGCTGAGATGGGACCAGGGGTATAGACTACTACAGCTGAGATGGGACCAGGGGTATAGACTACTACAGCTGATATGGGACAAGGGGTATAGACTACTACAGCTGATATGGGACCAGGGGTATAGACTACTGTAGCTGATATGGGACCAGGGGTATAGACTACTACAGCTGATATGGGACCAAGGGTAGAGACTACTACAGCTGAGAGGGGACCAGGGGTATAGACTACTACAGCTGAGATGGGACCAAGGGTATAGACTACTACAGCTGAGATGGGACCAGGGGTATAGACTACTGTAGCTGTGTACAGAGTGAGATGTAGGGGGTACTACTGTTGAAAAAGGGATGAGGTGTATAGACTACTACTGCTGAGAATAGAGTCAAAAGGGAAGTGGAGTGATAGTTCTACGAAGATATGACTCCCTGTCGAGGCTCGAATATTTCCCGGCAGATTGGTAATGAACAATATTTTGGTGAATATCTATTTTTTACATACGGGAGGCTTTCTATCTATGCTCACAAGTTAAAAACCTTTTAAAAAAGGTTTATATGAAAAATCCAGTTATAGTGTTTGTTTTCACACAAAGCTTTTAGTATAAACCGGCTCAGACTGGTTTCGGGGTTAAGCTGGGCCCCGTCTCGCATATCGCAATATATATAGGTGCGTCAAAGCGTAGCGCAGCAGACTCCGGGAACCAGACTGAAACCGGTCGCTCCAGTTTTTGTATCAACCAGATAACAGTTCCGCTTCCGCTTCGTCACTAAAAACGTCTTCAGAAGTTCAAAACAATATGCAGAGTGACATTCAAGGTAACTTTGGATTATGGAACTCTCAAGAACATACTATTTTTTACTACCGATAGCTGTCTGCCTGTACACTCTCAGTTGCACGATTGTCTCGTAAAATGAACACCACGCGTCAACAGAGCACTGACAGAAAGTATCATGGATGTTTGGATAAATACATTTATTGTTCAAGAGAGAACGCGAACCTACATTGGCCCTCAGGGTTAGTTATGTTAGTGTATGTGTCCCCCAGTTCAACCCTCAGCCCTTGGATTTAGTGGTCGCTGCTAACAGAACACCCAACTGTTACCTTATTCATTGTCATTATGATTAAATAGTCCTTTCCATTCAAACACCCAATTATGATCCGTAAAGAGAAACAAAACCTTCAGTCGTTCAGCTGCAACATTTCAATAACCCTTTATAAATTATCATCAGCCACTCAACAAACTGAGCTTCTGACCATCTACTAAGTGCCTCACTGAAAACCAGGGGAATCCCCCTAGAATTCTCATATGTTATCAGATTATGCTTACAAAAACTTTTCACCATGCAAATTCATATACTCTTCAGTAGAAAGTAGAAACCAATTAATGCTGAATCCCAACATGTGGAGGAATGGTTGAAAACGTTAAAAAACAGAAACGTTGAACAAAAACGTAATGTTACACTCATGTTTGTAGTGAATTACTAAAATGCACACTACATGAAATGCACGTGCATCATGAAATTGTGTATCACCCTGAATTTGGTTCTCTTCAACAACGTCAACAGTGGAACTTTCCACCTGGAGTATGTGTAGTCATCATCATCTCTTTGTGTTTCAGGGTTGATTGCCAAGTTCACCAATAAGACCAATGAAGGTGTACGACCAGCCTGTCAGCGGTGTGGCTATGGTAAGTATACAACTTTTCCCTTTCCTCAAGTCAAATAGTCCTCACCCCCAGTGTCAAGTAGTCCTCACCCCAGGTGTTGAGTAGTCGTCACACCAGTCGTCAAGTAGTACTCATCTCAGGTGTCACATAGTCCTCATCTCAGGTGTCACATAGTCCTCATCCTAGATGTCGAGTTGTCCTCACCTCCGGTGTCAGGTAGTCCTCATCCCTGGTGTCAAATAGTCCTCACCCGAGGTGTCAAGTAGTTCCCATCCCAGGTGTCACATAGTCCTCAGCCCAGGTGTCACATAGTCCTCATCCCAGGTGTCAAGTAGTCCTCAACCAAGGTGTCATGTAGTCCTCACCCCCGGTGTCACATAGTCCTCATCCCAGGTGTCACATAGTTCCCATTCCAGGTGTCAAGTATTCCTCAACCCAGGTGTCACATAGTCCTCACCCCCGGTGTCACATAGTCCTCATCCCAGGTGTCACATAGTTCCCATCCCAGGTGTCACATAGTCCTCATCCCAGTCCTCAACCCAGATGTCACATAGTCCTCAACCCAGGTGTCACATAGTCCTCATCCCAGGTGTCACATAGCCCTTATCCCAGGTGTCACATAGTTCTCAACCCAGGTGTCACATAGTCCTCATCCCAGGTGTCACATAGTCCTCAGTCCAGGTGTCAAGTAGTCCTCAACCCAGGTGTCACATAGTTCTCAACCCAGGTGTCACATAGTCCTCATCCCAGGTGTCACATTGTTCCCATCCCAGATGTAAAGTAGTCCTCACCTCCGGTGTCAGGTAGTCCTCATCTCTGGTGTCACGTCGTCCTCAACCCAGGTGTCACATAGTTCCCATTCCAGGTGCCATGTAGTCCTCAACCCAGGTGTCACATAGTCCTCATCCCAGGTGTCAAGTAGTCCTCAACCCAGGTGTCACATAGTTCTCAACCCAGGTGTCACGTAGTCCTCATCCCAGGTGTCAAGTAGTCCTCAACCCAGGTGTCACATAGTTCTCAACCCAGGTGTCACGTATTCCTCACCCCAGGTGTCAAGTTGTCCTCACCCCTGGTGTCACATAGTTCTCAACCCAGGTGTCACGTAGTCCTCATCCCAGGTGTCAAGTAGTTCCCATCCCAGGTGTCACATAGTCCTCATCCCAGGTGTTACATAGTTCTAAACCCTTTGTGTCACTTAGTCCTCATCCCAGGTGTCACATAGTCCTCATCTCAGGTGTCATGTAGTTCTCAACCCAGGTGTCACGTAGTCCTCATCCCAGGTGTCACATAGTCCTCATCCCAGGTGTCACATAGTTCTCAACCCAGGTGTCACGTAGTCCTCATCCCAGGTGTCACATAGTCCTCATCCCAGGTGTCACATAGTTGTCAACCCAGGTGTCACGTAGTTCCCATCCCAGATGTCACATAGTCCTCAACCCAGGTGTCACGTAGTCCTCACCCCAGGTGTCAAATTGTCCTCAACTCAGGTGTCACATAGTCCACATCCCAGGTGTCAAGTAGTCCTTATCCCAAGTGTTTACTAGCCCTCATTCCTAGTGTCGACTTAATCCGTGACACTTTTGGGTGAATTTCTCTATGTCATAGTGCATAAAGACTACCGGTATTAAAATGCTTGAAAGTTCCAAAATGTCAGATCTTATGTTATAAACCATTGATTTGGCATTCAGTCATGACTATTTTTCAGATAAAATTGAAGTGTCAACATTGGTATTTTCTATTATTAAATATGACTGCAGATTTCCTTTTTGCAAAATTCCTTACATGTTAACCTGAATGAATAAATTTGATATGCATGAATAGGTCACTGAATGAAATGATTTCGGATTGAAATTTGAATCATGCACCTTATTTGAGAACATTATGGATACAGCAACGTACTGTAAAATCATGACATACCTACTTTTACAGCTGGCCACTTGACCTACCAGTGCCGGAACTTCATCAAAGCTGACCCAAACAAGGACATCCTCCTTGACGTGAGCAGCACCAGCTCAGACTCGAGTGATGAAAACTTTGTGTCTCCTCTCACACAGCTCAAGAAAGCAGGTGACTGTCTCCCTGACAGTTCGCATTAGCTAGGGACAAGTCTTTGCTAGTCATTAGCTAGGACCAGGCTGCAGGCAGGCACATCCAGGGGAGATAACCATGTAGATTGCAGTGCATTCGTGACTTCTGGTCCCTTTCCATAACCTGAAAGTAGACCTGTACCCCTCTCATAGCCATTTTATTGAATGTGGCTCTGTCTGAGCACAAAAGAGCATAGAGAAAGAAATAGTCTAGTCGCCGAACAATTTTCAAGGGCATGTAACTCTAATTTACTTGGAAAACACACATGGCATCCATGCCAAGGAAATTACCTCAAAATGTATGTTTAACATGCTTAAATACTTTCCTACACCATAATGTTAATATATCCTGGAATCAGGAAACCCAGGACTATGCAATAATTAGAATATACTTGAAGTGTCTGGAAAAAAATTATGCAAGCCGAAATGAAAAATATTTCAACTAACTATTTCTACCCAATTTCTGCTCTACATATGCGCATTCTGTTGGCTGGGGGAATATATCTCCCGGACATGGCTACTGAGAGGGGTATGAGTCTACTTTCAGGTTATGGAAAGGGACGAGTAGTTACGAAAGATTGCAGTGTTGTCAATGTTACATTACATGTTGCTGTCATGGGAGTAGATAACTGTGTCTTTCTCAGCGTGTTTCCTGCAACTCAGCAGTCTCTGGAACACTATCAGAAAGTACCTACCAGTTACGACTGATAGAGAATAACATCGTATAAGCTAGTTACCTTGATTGCAAAGACAGGTGTTAAATCTATGTAAAACATTTCTGACTGAAAAATATATAATTCAGTATGTACCAGAGGTGTTGTTTAAACATAGGTGTTATTTCAAAGGAGCTCCAGGTATAATACTGTCCAAGCTTTATGGGTAACAACTTCATCTATTTCGTGATTACGACAGTTCGAAACAGATTCTTGTACCGTTGTGAAGTACATTCCTGCTTGACAGTGGTACAAGAATGTGTATGGAGGCCCCACTTCTAACATGTCTCCCAGAGAAGCTCCAGGTACATGGAGGCCCCACTTCTAACATGTCTCCCAGAGAAGCTCCAGGTACATGGAGGCCCCACTTCTAACATGTCTAGAGGCCCCCCAGAGAAGCTCCAGGTACATGGAGGCCCCACTTCTAACATGTCTCCCAGAGAAGCTCCAGGTACATGGAGGCCCCACTTCTAACATGTCTCCCAGAAGCTCCAGGTACATGGAGCTCCAGGTACATGGAGGCCCCACTTCTAACATGTCTCCCAGAGAAGCTCCAGGTACATGGAGGCCCCACTTCTAACATGTCTCCCAGAGAAGCTCCAGGTACATGGAGGCCCCACTTCTAACATGTCTCCCAGAGAAGCTCCAGGTACATGGAGGCCCCACTTCTAACATGTCTCCCAGAGAAGCTCCAGGTACATGGAGGCCCCACTTCTAACATGTCTCCCAGAGAAGCTCCAGGTACATGGAGGCCCCACTTCTAACATGTCTCCCAGAGGCCCCACTTCTAACATGCTCCAGGTACATGGAGGCCCCACTTCTAACATGTCTCCCAGAGAAGCTCCAGGTACATGGAGGCCCCACTTCTAACATGTCTCCCAGGGAAGCTCCAGGTACATGGAGGCCCCACTTCTAACATGTCTCCCAGGGAAGCTCCAGGTACATGGAGGCCCCACTTCTAACATGTCTCCCAGGGAAGCTCCAGGTACATGGAGGCCCCACTTCTAACATGTCTCCCAGAGAAGCTCCAGGTACATGGAGGCCCCACTTCTAACATGTCTCCCAGAAGCTCCAGGTACATGGAGGCCCCACTTCTAACATGTCTCCCAGAGAAGCTCCAGGTACATGGAGGCCCCACTTCTAACATGTCTCCCAGAGAAGCTCCAGGTACATGGAGGCCCCACTTCTAACATGTCTGGAGCTCCAGGTACATGGAGGCCCCACTTCTAACATGTCTCCCAGAGAAGCTCCAGGTACATGGAGGCCCCACTTCTAACATGTCTCCCAGAGAAGCTCCAGGTACATGGAGGCCCCACTTCTAACATGTCTCCCAGAGTGTTACCCTAGTGTGTTATATATGTTGAATACCCAAATAATATTTGTATCATGATAAATAACTTATGACAATGAATGTGTGTAGATATTTATCGACTTAATGATATTCTTGTGGTTTTATTGTTTAGTGCAGTAGGGATGACATCATTTCCTGTCTTGCTTACTGACGTTAACACAGAGTACTGATAAGACAATACTACTTTGTAATGTGTAGATAGTTTGATCATTTATTATGTTCCTGTGTTTCAGAGGACAAGAAAACAGTGAAGAAGATGAAGAAGCACAAAGTGAAAGATAAGCGTGACCGACACAAGAAGACAAACAAGAAGAGGTCAGTGTTTCTGCAGTGTTGACAACACTGTGATAATGGATACTTTACTGTAGAATTAGAAAAGTAATTGAGGCCAGTAAGCAATGTTGTTATTAGAAATTAAGTTCAAAACAAGGCAGGGCAATATGTTACCTGAGAACTGATAAAACACTTCTTATCCTGACACATTATGTTGCAGTTTCCTTCTCAACATTGATCATATAACACAGAACCCAAATATTGACTCATCCTTCTCCGCGATGCCATTGGTCATCAGTGAAAGTTTTCAGTCCTTTGTATCTTTAGAGTAGGTTAAGGCCAAATACAGCATATAAGGAAATTGCCTCATCAGCAGTTGCCATGTAAATACCAAAGCATACAACTTTATGGATAACAAGACCGATCTAGATTCTTATACCATTCAAGCTAAACCCTAAAGTTGTATGCTTCATTAGCACACAAAGCAGGTGTTGAGAGAGGTAGGTGGGAGGCCGCTAGATATGATCACTACCTTGCTGACATACTCATGAGGGGCTGTGGGGTAGCCTAGTGGTTAAAGCGTTTGTTCGTCATGCCAAAGGCCTGGGTTGAATTCCTCGCATGGGTACAATATCTGAACCCATTTCTGGTGTCCCTTGCCGTGCTATTGCTGGAATATTGCTAAAAGCAGCGTAAAACTATACTCACTCACTCACTCACTCACTCACTCACTCACTCACTCACTCACTCACGTCACGCACGACGCACGCACGCACGACTCTCACTCACTCACTCACTCACTCACTCACTTTCACCATGAACACCACCAATGCTAATGTCCCTCCTACTCCCAATGTAGTCCCTCCCCCTGTGTTGCATTCTGCAAGGGATGGGACTCCACTTGGTATCGGTGTCCTGCCTAGGACTCACATCTTCAGTACCAGCACTTCTTTCATCCTTGATAACCATTGGTCCTGTGGTGGTGATATCCTGGTATCATTACTGAGCAAGGCTCACGCTGGTTAGGTAGTTAGTTCCTGTGAGTGCTACACCTTGTACAGCTGTGTACAGGGATTATCTGGATATATGATGACATCAGCATCTCAAGCTGCTCTTTCCCAGGCACTGCTTCAATTAATGATGATTCTGGGGATATGCTCAACACATCAGTCAAGAATATTCTTGTAGTAGATAGTTATTTTAGTAATGCTTCACTTTCTGTTCAAGGGAGATAATTCATGTATAGCTTCACAACTACAGCATTGTTGTCATTGTGTTGGGATGTTGCCAAGAATGTTGGAATTAGTATATTTCAGCTCTTGCCACAGACCTAGGAGCAGTCCCACAGTATCTGATATCATAGCTGTATGAAATGATAGAGCAGACAGAGCTCAGTCTCTAACAGAGGAACACCATGCAGGATAGGACACATGTCATATTCAAAATCCAAATGGAATCATGAGTCCAGTGTCCTATGCTCCATGATAGATGTCATTGAGAGATGTCTGGGGCAAATGGATAGCCCTGGAACCAGCTATTCTCCAAAGAATATCTCTGAAGAGGATATTTCCCTTGTGTCATGGAGTCTCATTATATATTCTATGAGATGTTTGGCCTCCTGTCACATTTTGCTGCATAAAGAGGTTCAGTCCACAGGTTGCCACTTATAATGAGTGAGTGAGTTCAGTTTTACGCCGCACTCAGCAATATTCCAGCTATATGGCGGAGGTCTGTAAATAATCGAGTCTGGACCAGATAATCCAGTGATCAACAGCAAGAGCATCGATCTGCTCAAATTGGGAACAAATGACATGTGTCAACCAAGTCAGCGAGCCTGACCACCTGATCCCGTTAGTCGTTAGTCGCTTCTTAGGACAAGCATGGGTTACTGAAGGCTCATTCTAACCCGGACCTTCACAGGTTGCCACTTATAATGAGGTTCAGATGTACTCACTATGACTACATGTCTTTGATGTCACAATTCTGAGGGATTGCTGGGATCTTGTTGTTTGTCAACCTGACAACCTCAAGTCCTGATCATCCAGACATCACATATCCAAAGTTACACAGGTACTCGGCCATGAAGTGTAGCTTGTTCGTGTTAGGGTGTGACAGGTGATAGGCAGTTAGTGAAGAAGTTACACCATCTCATCAAAATGATTATTTACACAGAACAACCATGGAAGGTGAATATAAAGGAAATGCTGTCACAATAGCCCAGTGAAATTATTAGATTATTGAAATTACATGAATGCAGGTATTCCTGAAGCATGTATACTTATCCAAATTCATGTAAATAATTTCTTATCTTAATACAACATATTACAAGTCTTATACCCACCATTGGAGACAGGGTTCTGTAGTGTATAATGGAACCAGTGCTAGAATACATTATGTTTTGGGATATGGTTGCTTAAAGTATTGGGTTTTTGGAGGTCCAAAGTGATTCAACTCCATCTTTTCAAGTTTGCCTGTGGGATCACGCTGACTGATCCAGGTCTCAGTGCTTATCACTGGACTAAGATGAAAACCTTCTTGGTTCTGGTTGTATCTGTTTAACAGGGCATTAGAGGTGATAGCACTAGATATGTATGATAGATTGTTTCTACTGATGATACAAGGTTGCTGTGGTCTAGTGTAACTCAGTCTAATGCATCTGTTGTTCAATGCCATGGCGTGAATGTTTTCTGTTATAGTGCTGGTGGCAGGTAAACTAGTGCAGGGGGTTCCTTCATCTGATACTTTATTGCAGGCTTGACCAAGCAAGCTACTGACATATGTAATTAAATCTGGAGACTGTAGTAGATGCATTTTACCAAGGAAGGATTTTTTCCTAAGTTCTGACATAGGGCAACAAAGTCCTTATACTGTAAGACATTCCTGATGCATTTGAGACAGAAAGAGTCCAATACAGTTAATATGTCCATGATCTCTCCTGGTTTCAGTCCTGAAAAACAAGGGCATGGAGACAAATGAGTCCAGGGTGTTTACACAATAGAAGAGAGATTTTATAGCCTGAATAACAGAAGTTGAGGATCACATTCCAACCCTTATTTTCGGAATACACACAAACATGGATTTAAATGTTGGTGCTATAGTGGTATTTTACACAGGAGTAGCCAAGTATTCAAAGTATTCTGTTGTTAGTGTGACTCAAAGTCAGCACATGACCTGTGTAAAGGTAACAGCATTGAGGAGGAAAATATGGATCAGGGGCTCCTTTCACGAAGCAACCTTTACTAAGGTTAACCTTAACTCCCATTCTGTAACATTGCACTAAGGTTACCTTAGTGACTTCCGGTCACCTTAGTGCTTCGTGAAAGGAGGCCCAGGATAGTATATCATGCTCAAAAGAAAGCAAACAAACATGCTATCATTATGTGTAGGAACGGAAGATGTTAATTGTTAACTTAAATGTATTTTGCAGGTCCAGGTCAAGATCTCCTGTAAAGTCTAAGAAGAAGAGGCACAAAAAAGACAAGAAAAGACATAAGCACAGACAGGAAACTCATTCAGACACAGACACTGATTCTGATTCAGACACTGATTCAGACAGTGAGCCTGACTCTGAGCTTCATTATAGAAAGTCACGCAGCAAGCACAAGAAACATCATAAACATAAGCATAGCAAGCATATCCGGAAGTCTGAGAGAGACAGCTCCTACAGTGATTGAGTGGATCAGCATGTCCAGGTGCTGTGAAAATGTCCGAGTCAGGGTCAGTGTTGCGTGCTTGTCTTAGGGGGTCAGTGTGACCTAGTACTGTACATGTCTTAGGGGGTCAGTGTGACTTAGTACTGTCCACAGCTGTGAGTGGGTCACAGTGACCTAGTACCTGAGTACCAGTATCTCAGACTTAATCAGTGTCCAGGGGATGTGTGTCAATCATTCATTGCAGCACTGTGACTGTACCCTAACATGTGACCCGTGAAGATCCGGGTTAGAATGAACCTTCAGTAACCCATGCTTGTCGTAAGAGGCGACTAACAGGATCGGGTGGTCAGGCTCGCTGACTTGGTTGACACATGTCATCGGTTCCCAATTGCGCAGATCGATGCTCATGCTGTTGATCACTGGATTGTCTGGTCCAGACTCGATTATTTACAGACCTCCGCCATAAAGCTGGAATATTGCTGAGTGCCGCGTAAAACTAAACTCACTCACTCACTCCCAACATGTTACCTAGTTATGGGATGACTATGGAGAAAAACAGCAATAAGAGTGGAGAATATTAAACACGAAATATTGTTACAAATTACAGGGACCACTAAGGTGTTTGAGCTGGTGAAAAGTGATATGCACTGCCTCTTCATACCAGTTTTCACCTGTCATGTTCATGTTTTAACATGTTGTCTGTACAACATGGTTGTAGCTATTTCACAAGCTATTCCTTATCACATCTGTAATAGAATGAAGCATCATGAACATCATGGTGTTGGCGCTTCTCCCTGTTTCACATGTCTATTACCGGTATATGATGGTATTTTCAAGATGTGATCACTCAGATGTTGTATCTCAATTATCCACTGTATGTTATTGGAGTATAGCTATTTAGCAGCACTGAACCAAAGGTTGTATGGAGCTTGGCATACTGTCTGTAGTAAACTTTTCCTCTGTAGGGCTTCTGGGATAGACCGCTTACCGTAGGAGGCAACCGAATGGATGGGGTGGTCAGGTTCAGTGGCTTGGTCAGTAGCATGGTTTCAAACCCAAACATATTGATAGTTGCCAACAAGTACTGGTCACTGGATAGTCTGGACGTGATTATGACGTGAGCAGCACTGATAGACTGGGGACCTTCATCTTTAACCCTGTGTACGTCCTGTCATTGTGAAATATTCTTACAATGTTGTTGTATTGGAAGTACTCTTTTTTGTCATGTTTTCTTTGGTCTAGTTTTACACATTTTCCGTGGAACATTTAAGTGAGCATTATGACTCCAATGTCATAGGATCCAATGTTTTAGACAAAACACTTCCTTGGGAATGTTTGACTTGCATGCTGGACTACGTTTTCTGTCAAAGTGACGGGTAAGCTTTGCATGATATCAGCTGGCAGGACCAGAAACAGTCTGTGAAGGCACATGCTTGTACAATTTGTTTCCATGGGTGGTGTTCTCATGTATAATTTTATTTCTGTATTTTAGTTTTACTGTATGATGCCATGTCATATATCAGCCCAGGTTTTAGTATTGTCAAAACTGTTGGTTACAACTGAACTTTAATAACATATTGACATTTTACTATGTTACACTTACACTGATAGAAAATGATGTTTTATATGAAATGTGATTGTATCTCTTATCAAATAAACATTTGTAAAAGTTGTGAATATGAGGTAAAACTCAATGCTTTAATTTGTGGGTACACTACTCAACAGGTTTCTGAATGGACTTCATGTTTTGAAACTGTTGAAATAATCTAATGACTATACAATTGTCCTATGAACAAATATGTTTGTTTTAAGGGAAACATTCATGTAAGTACCAGTATGTTTCCATAAACATGGAGATAACCCCAGCCCTAACATCCACAACCGCCAGACGATCAAATAGTTCAAGTGTTTGAAAATCCAGTGTTAAAAAAAAAAGCATACACCTTTATGGACAACAACTTCTTCTGTATTTTTGCCTTGAGCGATGTTTCAGTGTAGATTGTCAAATTAAAAGTAAGAATCTACACCAAAACATAGCTCTATGCAATAAGGGACTGTTCGTGTGTGTGTGTGTGTGTGTGTGTCTGCGTGTGTGCGTGCGTGCGTGTTGTTTTTTTCTGAATAGACCCATCGGGACTCAGGACGAGGAAGCTGTTCTCGTTGTGTTGAACACTGTAGCACCCCTCCTCAATGAAGGATAGATGTGGATAATATATTGGGATTAATACACCAGCTGTTGTTGCACAAGCATCCTGCTCAAGGTCTGTACCGTATTGCAAACATTCTTTGTGTGAAAGCGGAATCTCCTCCTTTGATGAATGGTTGATAACTATCGAAGTGTTGGATCTGTGACTTCAGCATGTCGAAGCCAATCGCTGTACAGACGGTACTGCCTGAAGCTTTGGCTTTCTCCCGTTCTGAAAACCACGTCTGTGACCTTTGCTTCAAGATATGCTGCTCAATACCTGTTGAACTCTTCTCGATAGTGTGCAGGGATTCATCAGCATTTATGCAAACATAGTGTTCCTGTTTATTTAGGTCAACTTTTGATCCATAACAAATTTTTGCACACATTCCCCCAATTTGTGAAATCGTATTCAAGGAATTGGTAATGCATTCATTGATTTGATATATTTTGGTCCGGTTTGTCAAGCATCTTGAACTTCTCCAAACAGGGTTTCTTTGTGACTAATGTTTCACCCATATCTTTTATTCTCATACTTAGCAGGCGAATTACTTCTTGTAACTCTGTGACACATGTATAGTATGACCAGAAATTATTGAGAATTTTAGGAATATGTTTAATTGGATTTCTAGCATAAACAACCTTGACCAGTTGTCAAGTTCTTGGTTTCATTCAGGAGAGACAACTCCGTTAATCCTTTTTCATTAGTTTGTGAAGAGTTATCCCCTTTGTTCACTTGCTAGCAGACGACATTTTCAGTGATCCTCAGTGTGGATGATTTAGAGAAGAGGAAGTTGATTTTAGAGTATTATAACAAGGACATCAGATCAGCTAAAGTGATTTCAAGTAGAACAGGCATCCCTTTGTCCACTGTTTATCTTGTTTTGAAAAAAATTGCAAATGGATATGGCATTGAGCACCAGGGAGGCGCAGGTAGGCCCAGAAAATTGACTGTCGGTGACAGGAGGCGGCTTGGTATTCTTGTTTCTAAAGACTAACGAAGGAGTTTAGAAAACTTAAGGCTGGATATGATTGATAGAGGAACTGTGGCTGTCTGTAAGGAGACAATTAGAACTGAGCTGCATGTAATGGGTTGGCAGAAAAGTCGAGGAATTCCATCACCGATCATGAAAGCTGAACAAAATGAGCGAAGGTTGAACTGGTGCTTACAGCATAGAAATTTTAACTGGGACAATGTGATTTTCTCAGATGAAAGTTCTGTGTGGCTGTTTCCTAAGACACTGAAATTCTGGACCAAACAAACGGAAAAACCTTTGTATCAGCGCCCAAAGTACAGTCCGAAATTTAACGTGTGGGGTGCCATACCTGTGTTAGGAGCAACGCCCCACTGTGTTTTTGAAGGAATATGAACAGTGAGCGGTACACAGATATTCTCAAGGGACATTTTCTTCCATCTGCTCACATGTTTTATGGAAATTTTTGAATTTTCCAGCAGGACAACGACCCAAAACATCGTTCAAAGCATTCACAGGCCTGGTTTTGGACCCAAAATATGACATTATTAGATTGGCCAAGCTATAGCCCTGACCTAAATCCAAAAGAAAATGTTTGGGGACTTATGAAAGAAAGTGTCAATAAGAAAAATCTGAGAAATATTGCTGAAATGAAAGAAGAGGTGGTCCGATATTGGGACAGCATGGACCACGACTTTCTAACTTCTTTGATCAGTAGTATGCCCCGCCGCATTGAAGCCTGCATTGCTGCCCATGGTGACTTGACAAAATACTAACTGTTCACCTGTCTTTGAATCTGGAGTTATGTTCTGCTAATATTCACATTTAATACGTGGGTAATGAGTGAAAAAAATTAAAACTTACAATCTTTAAATTCTCAATAATTTCTGGTTGTACTGTACCAAATCCGACTGGGCTCTGGGTTCTGTAAAAGCTCCTGTTTTTTCTAATTTCTCTGCCTTATTTCTGCAGGGGCGTCTGGGTAGCCTAGTGGTACGTGCGCTCGTCACGCTGAAGACCCAGGTTCGATTCCCCACATGGGTACAATGTGTAAAACCCATTTCTGGTGTCCCCCGCCGTGATATTGCTGGAATATTGCTAAAAGCGGCGTAAAACGAAACTCACTCACTTATTTCTGCAACTGTTGGTGATGGTTCACATTAAAAGAGGTCAACATCTCTTTCATCTTCAGTGTTGATCTTTTTACCATCAAAACACAACTTCAAAGGCTTTTTATTTTCGCCACCATGTAGTTCTGCAACCATATCTAAAGAATCTGACAGAATTCCAGGTGAAATCTCACTTGAAAGTATACTAGTAGCGGCAGTCTCTAAAGTTTTTATGTCAGGAACCACGAAATATAAGGCAGACTTTTGGGGTGTAAGTAACATATCACTTGTTTCTGTCCTGTCAGAGTTTTGACTTTTTGTTCCACCCATGTATTTGCCATGAAATAGCGTTGACTCGGTCAACCAGAACATTTTGATTTGCTCACTATATGGCATTTGGCGAAGGTCATCTGTACTAAGGAAACTGACAACATCCATGAAAAGCAAGAAGGCAATATTTATCAATGGAAATTGATTCACTGCAACCAGTTCGTTAAACTTATAGTGTTTGTAGACCGCCTCCGTGGTGTAGTGGTTAGAGCGTCCGCCCGGAGAGCTGAAGGTCGCGGGTTCGATCCCCGACCTCGTCATACCAAAAGTCGTTAAAATATGGTACTTGTTGGTCCCTGCCTGGTGCTCGGCATTAATGGGTACAACAAGGACTGGTCGGCTCGGAGTCTGTATAATGTGTGTGAGTGGAGTATTCATGCTTCACTGCGGCATGGTATCTCAGTTGGCTAGCACTATAAAACCAGCTTTAGTCTGGGCTAGTACAAGCAGCCACACATACACATGCATGCACGTCGTCATATGAGGGAAATATTCTCAAGCACGACGTTAAACCCAATTTCACCTGACCTCACCTAAAGTGTTTGTAATCTTTCCTCACATATTTTAGTGACCCAGTCACCTTCTGATCATGATTCTTTCTGATGAATGTTCGTTCGTCTTTCATATGCGTAATGAAAAACTTTGAGAAGCATGCCCACAATAGTAACATGCGTATGGTTGCATTTTAGAGGTTTATCTGAAACGTAAAAAATCAAATCCTTTAGAAAACACCTAAAAATATGTGACGTAATGCGTTCACTGCCGATAACGTTAATCGTTCTCCAA